TTAAATTTTGCTGGAGGATAAAATCCTCATGGCCTCTCTGTAGCCACTCTCACTAGCGCCATGGCAAGCCGCAAAGTGAGTCAAGCCGAGCGCCTCTCCCGCGAAAAGAACTTTTGGTGTGCCAGCACTGTCTAGGAGGGGTTTGGCCAAATCCGCCCTAGAGTTGGGGTACTTCATTGAGCTCACACTATCGAAAGTGTAGCTACCTCTGGTGTACGGATTCGAGTACCAGTTTGACCTGTGAAAAAGTTATCAGAGTTAAATATGGCTCTACCACGTTTTTAAAATTAATAATAATAATAGATAAAGAAATAATAATTGATAATAAATAATAATAAACTGAACAGACAGATCTCCAAATGCATGTGGCGCGACTTAAGCAACTTTAATACTGCTCGTATTGAAGAAGCGATCGAGTGGATCTGGAGCTCCAAAGTCTTTGCCAGAGATCTGCCCGCCAGAAAGAGCCAACTGTCGAAGCTGAAGACTGAATGTGGCAGCATCGTTTCCGAGACACCTGAGATTTTAAGTGAGATTGAGAGGTTCTATGGGCAGCTGTACTCGTCATCGTTGAAGCCACACGTAAGTGTGAGTACCGATCCAAGAGCAAGTCTTATCCGACACTATTCCGAAGATATCTTGGACGTCTGTCTGAGTGAGATTAGAATGGCTCTCCAGCACCTTAAAACTGTAAGTCCCTGGGCAAGGATGGAATGACAGCGGAGCTTCTGAAAGCGGGTGGAAAACCAATACTTAAAGTCCTTCAATTCTTTAATTCCGTCCTCCATGGTGGCACTACTCCGGAGGCGTGGAGCAGAAGTGCGGTGGCCATGTTCTTCAAGAAAGGCGACAACGCTCTCTTGAAGAACTACAGACCGATTTCCCTTCTGAGCCGTGTCTATGTGCTGTTTTCGAGAGTAATTACGAATCGTCTCGTATGCAGACTCGACGAATTCCAGCCTCCCGAATAAGCCGGTTTCCGAAAAGGCTTTAGCACCATAGACCACACACATATCCTTCGGCAAATTGTACAGAAGACTGAAGAGTACAATCTGCCACTTTGTCTTGCATATGTGGACTATGAGAAAGCCTTTTATTCCGTCGAAATTTGTGCGGTGCTGCAATCCCTTCAGCGGTGCCAAGTAGACTGTTGGTACATCGAAGTGCTGAAGTGTTTGTACAGTAGGGCTACAATGGCTATCCGAGTACAGAACTAGAGTACGAAACCTATCCAACTGCAGGGAGGTGTAATACAGAATGACGTAATATCCCCGAAACTTTTTACCCATTCGTGCTACAACTATACTACTAATACAGCTGCAGCATGGCTCTACCACTTACTAAATTATTTCTTTAAAGTGGCGTGCAGTGACCATCTATCATCAAGTGGACTTTACGTTCATTATATCGCTTCAGTTTTATAAAAAAAGTGTAAGAGGTGTCGAATTGAATACGAAAAATAACTCACCTAATAATTCCAGTCGGCTCGGGTATGGTCACGTTGGCGCCAAGGAACTTCCGAAGGAGTTCAACGGATTTCCTCTTCATAACTTTCGCTGGCACAGTTTCTACCTGCATTTTATTAATTATAGGTTTATAATTGATCTATTTTTATAAATTTACAAGTTTTAGAAATCTATCAATTAAAATGTTTAATTGTGATAAGAAATAGTTATATATATTTATGTGTATATATATATATACATTTATTTAATATAAGTATGTATGTATTTATTTTATGGATTTAATAAAAATAATGTTATTTTTGTCGCCAAACCACACACGTTTTTATTATTTTCTTGCAATCCTGTCCATCCAACGGTTGTCTGGAAGAGATCGCTTTTAGCGATAAGATTTGCATTGTAGCATATTTCTTTTTCTAATTTTTTGCTAATATTTATGTTATTTTTTGGCGTACAATAAAGTGTTATCTATCTATCTAAATTAGTAACATAGTCTGGATCAATGGTTAATAGGGTTGGGTTGCTTGCTGGTTCCCCCCAGGACAGAGGTTTTTTCCGAAGCAGTGGTAAAAGTAAAAAAAATACTTTTAATAAGAATTATTCGTAATCTATATTGAATAAAAATGATTCTATTCTATTTAATGGTTTTTGTTTCTTTAGGAAAACTAGAAAAAAGTGTACCACAAACTAAGCACTATACGAAAGTTGGTAAAATATTACTTCGGGTACATCCGATAGAAAAATTAAAATGATGTGTCTTACCTAGTTGGAAGAGCACCTCCCGGCCTCCCTCAATTGCATGCACTATCCCCGTTACCACTAATCCCAGCACCACTACTCCCAACACCACTAAACTAGGTAAGACTCATAATTTTTACCAATTTTAATATAATGGATTTCCGCAAAGTATCGCCTGATTCTATTAATTGTCCTAAACACGTATATTATTCTGTAATAGTCTGTTGACCTCACGAACCGATACTCTCTCTTTTTTTTAAATAATTATATTAGTTTTTTTTTTAAATAATTAAGATTGTATTTCACCCTCCAACTATGTAACATGCAAAATTGTCTATGGTGTCGACAAAATATCCTGATCTTTCCCAGCCATGCAGTTGTAATAGTATGTACTATATATAGTATCATGCATGCGTTTTATAAAATAAAATAAGTTGGGATAAATCGTAAGGAATTTTATACTTTATCCCAATGAATTAAAATTTAAAATGATTTACTACAAATTATTATTAATTAAATTAAATTCTAGACAAGTTATACAACTTTAATTTATCAATGAGTATCAAAGATTAACTAGGTAGATTCTACCGAATCAGCCGGACATCTCATGAACTAAACTTACTCAACTTAGCTTCTGCATCCTGATTGGTTGTAGCAAAATGACAAATGACATTTTTTTTTTAATTTTAAGCAGCTATACGAGGCAAAGGCCATCCCAAATAATGGTCACTTGCAAAATTTATTTTATTATATTGCAAATAAAACGAGGTAAATACAAATGAAACAATGTTGAAATCTATTTATTTACTTTATATATTAGCTTTTTCTTATATTTTAGAGAGCTTTACCTTGCATTTCTGGCAGCTGCCTTCTTTCTAAGCGAACAATATCTCCACCTTTTAAAATTTTATTCATAATAGCGTACCAGTTATTTATATCTAATTTTATTATTACCGATAAAAACGCGTCTGTTACTTCAGTCATATACTTTCGGAATGTAATATGCTCAAAGCGATATTTAATTAATATTGCATGCTTTATTATAATAAACAAACTTATTAAATAAATATAATTGCTTCTAGAATTAATGGACAAGTATCAATATAAGAATAACCAGTTTCACCATTTTGGTTACTCACTTCTTTTCCATGTCCTTTAATCGGGCTTTTTAATAATTGTGCACTAATATAATATCCAAAATTAAAAGATGAGCGGTAAAAGTTAATGAATCCTGTAATTAATAAAGATTTAAAAGCATTTATGAAATTGTGGCAAGTTGGGTTATTGTCCCTAAAATTATATGATCTTACTTGACCGGAAAAAAAATTCGATTGCATCGCAGTATATATAGCGGGGTCTTATAATCTTTATGTTTTTCTTGGACAAAAACTGTCACAATTTCGTAAAACTTTTTATGGCAGAGCACAGATTAAATAGATAGTTGAAAAACACAAGTAATAAATCGAACTGTAAACGTGAATCGATTTTAAGATTTATTTTTATTATGTTGATATTTTATTTTTAAACTGTTGATAATATGTTAATATATCGTAATGTATCTATTTACTTTGATTGGATCAATTCGATGTAAGTTGTTTTTATGTTTAATTGTTAAAACTCATTCACATAAATAGATTAATCGATGTGTGTGACATAAATTTATTTTCAAGATTTCTCGACTTCCAGATTGTGAATTGGGCAAATTATTTTATATTTTGAAATAAATAAATATAACGCTTTTTTAACTCATATTTCAACTTATTACAATTGGGCCTAGAAATCCCCGTCTCCTTTTAAATTTTGTACTTTTTACAAAACTTGTTGCCAGAATGCATGGTGTCTACATCAACAGCCGCAACAAATTCTTTTAAAATATTTTTAACATCAATAGTAGATGTTGATTCTTTACTAAAGTAAAAGGCAATAGGTTGATACAAGTAAATGCAAAGAAAGGGCGGAAATAAATCAAAGCAACCAAACGGAAATTTATCAGATCATGCTTACGGAAAAAAATAAACAATATGGCTGCCATGTCACGGCTTGCATTGGAACTTAGAAGAGATGTCAAGAAGGGAAGGGGTATGTTAGCTGTCACGTATCATTTTGCTATGACGTTTCCTGTGTCCAATATTTTGTCTATGAAGGTTATTGCCCGGGATGACATAATATTGACTTAAATTTCAGTTTTATTTATGAACACGCTGTATACTGACCAATTTCGCCATTTCCCCGGAGAACCATATCGTTATGGTGTTACTCGAGCCCATTGGCACGGTCGCGGAATGTATGTACCAGCCGTTCTCTTTGACCATCTTATTTCTTTCTTCCTTTGAAAATTGAAAGATGAAGCTAGATCCCGGCAACTTAAGCTTGGGGAATGCTAGAATTACTTTGTTGACAAGTCCCATAGGCAATCTTTGTATGGCTAACACTTTCTCTTCCGGCAGAGGAGGGTCGAAAAGTGTTGAGTATCTGGAAATATGCTCTTATTTAATAGCAGCGCGTCTTAAATTCAATGGTACTATAAATTATAGTATATTAAGTTCAAATATAATATAAATAATGATATACCGTATTGCTGTTTTTGAAGATCAAATTTTATTTGAAATTATGCCAAATTGAATATGTGTGTCTGTGAGATTTAATTCACTTTTTGCCGACCTATTCACCCTTACGAATGTGTGCGTGCATAATAAAATAGTAGGCGTTAGATATTTATGAATGACAATCAGTTAAAATAATGCATTAACACGCATTCTGAATTTAAAAGATAAAGAGGACAAAATGTTTGACGTTTTTTTTTTTAATTAATTTTTCTTCACCATTTCTTTGAAAATTTGGCCGGTTATTGCAAAATAAACCTGTGTAAGAAATCTAAATATTATATTTCTACGTAGTTGTAGGGCATCTGTATGTGTCTAGGAACCTCCCCTCCTTTCCTCTTAACTATTTCTGCCGCCAAAAAGCAGTGCTTATACTTTTTTTTTACCCCCACACTAGGAATTTTTTCTGTATTGTGGAGGCAGTTTCCGTAGTATTGGACAAGAACAAACATTCCGACCCGGAATAATTACTTGTAGGTCATACTAATAATTGTTCCGTACGGGATTCGAACAATTTTGGTGATTCACTCGGCAGTTTTTAATTGCCTCGAACCCGAAGCTCGTAACAATATATAGACATTTTTTTAAGCGAGAGAATACGACGAGTGAGAAAGGAGTTGTGAAGTAGGTACTGTACTGGAGCGTCTTATGAATGGAGTGCGTACATTATTGACTTGTGTAGTATTTTCTAGTACTATTTCCATAAATTACGCCAGTTTTTGGATAAAAACAAACCTCCATTATTACTAGTAGCATCTGCTGCAACTGCCCTTAATTTTTTTGGTAATTACAAAATATTGGTGTATATATATATATTTATTCATAAAACAGACCTTTCTTTCAAGACCCCAACCGATACGGTAACAATGACATTGTTGGCTCTGTACACTTTACCATCCCTGCAGGTCACCTCCACTGGGGCAGAGGGTTGCTGCGGCCAGACGATTTTAGTCACTTCCGTTTTGAGCTTAATGTCTAGATTCGCTAAGCCCGGTCCGCCTTGATATGTGTTCTGAAATAAAGAAATTACCGTTACACTCTTTTAAAATATACTACATAACATATCCACACTAAATAAGCCTGTGCAGCGGGGTTATTTTTCAAAGAGTAGCCATATTTTAAACTTAAGTTCAAATATTTAAATAATGATATACCATTATTGCTGTTTTTGAAAATACGAGTAAATAGTGCTTCTACTTTTATTTGATATTATGCCAAAAATTAATGTGATTTATGGGCAACGTTTTTGCCGAGCGAGCAACCCTTACGAACGTGTGTGTGCGTAGTTAAATGGTAGGCGTTAGATATTTATGAATGTCAATTAGTAAAAATAATCAAAAACAACCATCAATCATTTTTAAATAAATTTTTAGTGGAGATAAAGGTGCGAGATATCTAATACTGAGATTGTCGATCCGTCTGATGACTGAGCGAGGCGATAATGGTAGATACTCCATTTTATAAGTCCAGGCCCAGGTCTTGGCTGTTTATAGATTAATGTATGGAAATAAAGAGGTATTACTTTTAAGGCACTTACCAGCAGCAGTTCGAAGAAGGTTTTGTAACCGTATCGGTGCCAACTCAAAAATTGTTCACCTTCTAGCGACTTGTAGTTGGTTTTCGTGCTGATGTCATTCCAGCTATTTGCACCCTTGTAGTCGTCTACGAGGAGTTCCATGAGGGACAGGAAATTCTCGAGGAAATCTTTGTCTTTGAGTAACTCCGGGCGGGTCTCTTTCAAATGGTCTTTTAATCTGGAATTTCGGGGATAGGTAAACATTTCGGGGTAAGATTACTTATTAGGTACCGATTTAGAAACCAAATAATTTTACGTGACAGAATCATACTGCAGCTATATTATGATTACAGCACGAATGGGTCGGTTCAAACGGGGAAGGGAAGGCTCTCACAGAATGCCAACGTAAAATAGCAGCTTAATGCCGCTGTGTTTCGTATGGTGAGTGTAGTGAACCGGAGACCCTTTTTAACTTTTACTTAGTTTTTTAACTTTAAGAACGAGCGAATAGAGGTTACATCTATGCTTGCACACACACTCCTCCACTATCCTACACAGGATGTTTTTCTCCGTTGAGATTGGCCTCGATGATCGAAATTCGGTCCGGAGGACAATATTTTTATTTGGAATCCTAAATTTGCAGAAACTTTAACATAAACTTAACTCTAAGATGACACAAAGAACCGCGCCGTGCAATGCAGGTGTCAGAAACAGAAACAGAAACTTTTTCATTCAATATAGATTAAAAATAATACTTATTGAAAGTCACTCTTTTGTATAATTACCACTGGTTCAAAAAAAACCTCTGTCCTGGTAAGAACCAGCAAAAAACCCAGCGGGACTTTTTTTTCAATAACAGCTTACAATCATGAATGTTACACAAATTAACAACACAACAAATTAGAAATAGCTTGGTAGCGATCACCTCATTTCCAGGGGTTATAATCATCTATAAATTGTTTAATATTATAATAACCCTGTTTATACAAACTTAGTTTAATAAAGTTTTTGAACTTTGAGCAGGTCAAACTTATATATATATATATATATATATATATATATATATATTTTCTGGAATTTTGTTGTAAAAGCGTATACATCGCCCCAAGAATGAATTACTGACTCGATGAGGTCGAGTAACTGGTACTTCTAGCTTGTGTCTGTTCCTAGGTATTTACAGAATGAATATCACTTATTTTTGTAAAACTACTTTTATTTTTGTGTACGTACATTACATTTTCATAAATGTATTAAGAGGCCAAAGTTAATATATTAATTTCCTTAAATTTTTGTCGAAGCGACTCTTTGGGCTTTAAATCATAAATTGCTCTTATGGCCCTCTTCTGTAAAACATATATAATTTCAGTGTAAGCTGCGTGTCCCCATAGCAAAATACCATACGACATTATGCTATGGAAATAGCTAAAGTAAACTAGTCTAGCTGTTTCAACACTAGTTAGACTTCTAATCTTTTTTTACGGCATATGCTGCAGAACTAAGTCTGCTTGCTAGTTTTGATATATGGGGACTCCATTGAAGCTTCGCGTCTAGTGTGATTCCAAGAAAAATGGTGGTATCTACAAGACTCAGTTTCTCCCCATTAAAATTACATTAGTATTTAATTGTTTGAAATTTGGAGTCATAAATTTCATACATTTCGTTTTTGTGCCATTAAATGCAAAATAATAACATTGAACCAATTTACTAATTTAGATATGGCATTATTTACTTCGTCATATTTTAGCAATTTTTGACAAATAATACTATATCATGGTTATCTCCTATTATGTAAGGTAAGTCATTAATGTATACAAGAAACATAAAGGGGCCGAGAATTGAGCCTTGAGGCACGCTCATTTGTACCGTCGACCCGGAAGAATTCATACTGTTAATGACAACTTTTTGCGTTCTCTTACTATAATATGAAATTATTAATTTAAGAGCATCACTTGTATTTATTATTGTGTGTAATATCCACTACCCCATATAATCCCGTGGCTGTCGTAAGAGGCAACAGAGGGAAACTGGAACAGGTGATGGGCAGCAGCATCTTCCTGATAACAACTCAAAATAATAAAAAACTGTGGTTGCCAACCTGCTTGGCTAGCGTGGCAACTATGGCAAAATCCCCCCAAAAGCAATCTATGGGGGAGGTTATTATGTTCAGTAGTGGACTTTTATAGGATGTAATCAGTGGCGTAACTATGCTGTTAGAGGCCCGTGGTAAATTCATCAGCTGAGGTTCTCTCTCACTCAATTTAAAGAAGCTCAAACAACATTAAAGTTTTTAAGATCCTTTTGTGATTCCCTTGCGGCTGAGCGGCGGGCTCCCCCGTGGTATTTTGCACGGCTTTCTACCTTATTGCTACTAATGAGAAATAGGTCACAAAACTCCTAAATACTTACTTCCGAGTGATATAAGCGCCCAAAGAATCCTCTTCAGTGTTGGTGTCTTCTATCAAAGACATGCAATACAATATCAGTTCGTTCACCAGCTCGTGATTGCCTCTGGCCCCGTCGGATTGATACACATACATGGTTCGGTCAAGAGAGAGCAGGGTGATGTTGTTCTGGATTGCAGTGTCGTACACCCTGCTGGGGTACTGACCGTTTATCCTTGAAGTAGGCAAGAAATATATTTATTACTAGCTTTTACTTGCAACTTCGGCCACGTAGAACTTAAACAAAAATATCTAGCTGTCTTTGGGTAAGTAGTTGTCCAACTATGCAAAAATATCCACTGCTATATAGGAAGACGTTTAAAATGAAAATTGGAGATCTATTAATTTTCGATTGGCATATTTTGCAATACCTTCTCCGAAGAGCAGGAGAAAAATTCGCGACCTGCTGGTGTTAAATAAAATAGTAAATGGACGGACTGCTTGCTGTGATCTACTTACTGTATCTCTCCGTAAATGTACCATACAATATCCCTCGTCGTCCAATAACAAAACTGTTATACACTTCTCAATCCAGGACCAACATGGGGTCATACGCCCCGCTATCGCGAATGTGTGACACCTATAATTCACTCTGTGGCGTGTTGCCTGCTGTCTTAATTTTTCATGGTACTTTTCCTAAATATAGGAAAAATGTAATAGAGCACTATTATTAATGATTTGTGAATGATTTAATTATAATCTAACATCCATATTTCTTGCAGCCGCTACTTGGTTATATGCATTTATTGTCTTAGTTATACTTATATATTATCTATAGGTATCATTTTTTGCGACATATATTTCTTTATAAGCTATTGTAACTTTGCTCTGGCTTAATTTTTATAGTATTTTATCATACTGTGTCACCTATAAGGGTGCACACATCAGTCGCTAGATTAAGCCTATTTTCAATAAAATTTAATAATGTGTGCCATGCTGGTGTCCTATGAATTAAAAAAACACTCGGTTTTAACGAAGTTCCTTTCGTAGTATATTATTATTGATAAACGAATTATATTAATGATTAACAAATACAAATAAATTAATAACTAGCGTCTATTAAAATGAAGCGTCATTTAAAATAAAATAAGTAGTATTTCTTTCAAGGCAAGATAAGAAAAACCGCGAGGGAGATGGATATTATTCCATCTCGCTTCCTTATAGCCGCCAAGGCCGTCTACTCTACGTCAGAAGGGGTCATGACGTAAAAATCTTACACTTTTTCTCGCCTATCCCCCATCCGCCAAATTCGTACCGTCCGGAAACTTCGTTCCAATAAATAAATATAACGTATGGGTCAGTTCCACCGGGGAAGCATCACACTCTCGCAGAATACTAACGTAAAATAGCAGCTTAACGCTGCTGTGTTTCGTATGGTGAGTGTAGAGAACCGGAGACCCTTTTTACTGGAAACGAGGCATTCCATCTTAGTCCTCAGGGGTGACAACGCGTCTGTATATTACATTTTAATTGAGGGTAGATAATGTAAACTCCCACATCTGATCAGTTATGACTTAAGATGTAGTGATCAGCCGCCAAATAACAGGCAGCTTGCATTGCCGTGTTCTGATCAGATGGGTAATCAGATGGGATCAGAGATCCAGTAGAAACTAGTTAACTCCTTTTTAAAAGGCCGGCAACGCATCTGCAATTCTGTGTTGCAGTTGTTCATGGACGGCGGTCACTTGCTATCAGGTGAGCCGCATACTCGTTTGCCCCCTCTTCTATAAAAAGCATAGACAGACTGTGAAGCATTAATATACTCAGGGGTCACAACGCCTCTGTAATCTACTTTGTTTGATGTAGGCCGCAGTGGGAGCAGGTGGAAGTTGTCACGACAGTTCTATAAAAAAGGAGTTAGCTTTTTGCGTTTGTTAAGAGTGGACTTTTACGGGCCAATGGAGAAGAAGAAATAAGTTTAAAGACCAGCATGAACTACTTACACTTCCGCACCGAGCTCGACAACGCCTTCACCGAAAGGCACCGTGTTGACACGACCGCCGATACGACCCTGAGCCTCCAAACCCAGGACTTTCCTCCCTGCTTTAGCGAGAGTCGACGCTGCTGTCACTCCAGAAGATCCCAACCCTATCACTATGGTGTCATACTGCATTGTAGACCTGAAAAAAAACGGTTTAACGAAATAATCGGACGTGTAGTGGCTTAATAGAATACTTGATAGAGAGACTTTGGGATATGCCAAAAAGATCTTATGGATTTCGATAGATAGCATAAAGGTGACAACGAGCACGTAGTCCACCTGATGGTAAGTGGATGCTGTGGCCCATAGATATCTATATCTATCCTTGTGTAAGAATCAAAATTCAAATGCGTTGTCACCCCTGATGGCTAAGATGAAATGCCTTGTTACCAGTAAAAAGGGTGTCCGGTTCTTGGTTAAAATATAATTAAGGTAATTAAACGCGATAAAATCCATAAATATAATAGGTTCATTCAATAAATATGTAACAAGCAATTATTTATGTGTATATAGTATACTAGCGATCCTACCCGGCTTCAAATTTCTAGATCTCGACAACAGCACCACCTATCGTGTCTACCGTGTCCAATCTAATATGTTTTTAAAAGTATAGATACGTCATACTCGCTCTAAAATGGCAATACGAAAGTCAGGTAATTGCCCGACTCGCATTCAGTCGGGCACGCTCTCGCGTCGCGGCTATACCTTCGCTACAGCGCGTAAATCTTCTAGTTATTCGTGGCAAACATGCCTTCCTGTGTTTTTAGGTGATGCACAAATTATATGGGAACTGTTAGAGACCAGAAAAACGTCTCATTAATATATTGAATATAGATGTTTTGTTCATAATTGGTTTCATTATTTCAACACTAACCGCTAGTATAAACTTTGATGCTAGCTAGTGTGTTCATTTTCCATATCGGTATGTCACGCGCTCGCGCCAATTAGCGCTCGGCAGCAATCAATACGCAACTAATGATGTATATTCATCTTTTTCTAACGATAGGTGTACCCTATCATTTATCTCTTTTTGTTAGCGCAACGTGTCATAATAAATAACTGTACGTAGATATAGTACTGCCTGCGCCACTTTAAAATACAATAATGTTAGTGTGTAACCTGTCTATTTTTTTTAATACGTCTTTGTGTCCACTTGTGAATCGAAGCAATCCAGGGACCCACTCAAACACACAAAAATTTCATCAAAATTGATCCAGCCTTTTAGGAGGACTTCAGTAACAAAGACACGTAAAAAAGAATTATACAGGGTCATTTTTAATTTACTAAAGACCTTTTGGGAATATATTGGTTACATCATTAAAAACAATTTTAGTGAGATCACTCTTCACAGAATATAATACATTTACGAAAAAACTACTTTTAAGGTTTTGTTGTCATGTCTGACTCCTTTTAAGTCTGTATTTTATAGTACCTAAACAATGTCAGAATAAATCGTCAAAGAAAATGCCTAAATAAAGCATTTTTACACTTGATACAGTATCAAACATTGTATTGAAATCATTAAACATAATTAAATGAGCAAATGACATTAAAAAAAAATCACAAATATTAAAATTTATAATAAGTAAGTATGACCGCCGGGCCAGTCGTCGCCCGCGCTCAGCTGATTGCGTTGCAGTGCCTACTAAACCATTCATCACTGTGGCTATTGCACCAGGGCGCCACTTTAAATGACTTTACATTAACTTTTCATATACTTCTTTATTTTGCATTGCAAAACCATTTGATGAACTATTTGATTCTTTTATTAATTTTTTTAAGAATTAATAGACATTCTTTAATAGACATTTAGGTAGTTTTTTTTACAAATACTGTTTGCTAGCAACGCTGCCTACATCCAAGAGGCAACGTCGCACATGCGGCGGCCCAAGGCCAAGCCAAAGGTATATTATGACGTCGACACAGGTGTCATCGTCATCAAAGGCGCCGCCTGCCCTTTTCGGTTTGCAGACATCGATTTGGTGATCGATGTTTGTAGCACGTGCAAATAAAATGAGTATTATTAAATATTTTTTTTATTTAATGTAAGTTGTATTTAAAAAATGGATGCAGGTTAAAATAATTACAAATATTACAATAAAATATTTATAATGATTAAATACAAATTAACAGTAATTGAATAAAGATTAAAGATTGAATAAAGATTAAGAAATAAAGATTAAGGTAAATTAGACTTACCTAGGTACTTGTCCGCGGATGGCGGTGAGTATCGCGCACATAGCGTTAAATAATCACCTCCACATTCTATACATAGGTGACACTTAAAACTTAACTGTTCACCGACACGGGATAATACTCGATGATTCTTTTTGATTTGATCGAATGCCCAAGTTATTTTTTCTTTCAACATATCGCGGGCAGGTGTCGAATGCGCGACCAGTATACACTAATGTCTTTACATGCCCCCACAAATAAAAATCCATTGGTGTGATATCTGGCGATCTGGGTATTCTCTGTTTAAATAATCCTTAACTTGGCGAGCATAGTGCGCCGGCGCCCCGTCATGTTGGTAACGGCGGCTCTTCACGTTGGCCAACACACTGGCCAATGTGTTGGCCAACAACGATGGCCATCGTGTAGAGCGGGTGTTTAAGCTACGTTGGTACGTATTGGAACGATGGCCCACAAGTTGGCGCGAGATCCGTCTGGTGTCGGTTTTTTATAAAAGATCAAAGGGTTGTGGCAGAGTATTGGCCGCCGCGTCCACACGTTGGCCGCACGTTCAGTTTGCTACGAGCATAGATAAGAGTGTATAGCTACGAGCTCCCAGAGTGAATGCACGCACCTGATTTAAATTTTATATGCACGCATCGTAACTAGTGTCTACATAACGGCAGTAACAATGACCAATGAAAAAAGCTTTTCGCTTTATAGAGCCCTACCAAGCCGAAAATTGTTTGTAAAACACAAGTCTTTTTTAAAAAAAATGTTATTATACACTAGGATTTTCTCCTGTATCGTGGAGGCAGTTTAGAAACATAAATTGCATAAGGACAAACATCCAGACCCGGAGAAATTATGTGCAGGCTATACAAATACTTGTTCCGTGCGGGATTCGAACCCGCGGCCCCCAGGGCAGCAACTCATTGCTAAGCCACTACGCCACGGAGCCGTCAAGAAATAAGATTTCTTTTTTCCATTTCTTTTTGATCAACCTTTTCTTATACACATTCACGTTGTAGTGATTAATTGTGTATTAATTTATTTATTGATGTATTAATTGATTTTTTTTATTTACTTAAAATCTATAATGTATAATATATATTAAAATCAAATTAAAAAGTAGGATACTAAAATCATGTTTTTACTGTCTTTATTATTCCCCATTAGTTACTTTATTTCCTTAATAGTACTGTAATTTTTAGCTATGGAAGAGCGAAGTCACCTGTTACAGGCATTATTTTGCTTACTAGGTGACCTCGATCACTGATCATATAATGTTTAAACTTTAATGTTTGACGAAATAAATTATTTTTATCATTATTATTATTATTAAGTTTTATTCTATAATTATATAATAAGAATAACCCTTTTTAAAAAGGTTTTGTTTAATAAAATTTGACAACAGTTTCATAGACATGCTTCGAATATTTTCCAGGCCTTAGTTGTAAAAGTGTTAATTATACCTATGCCTAGGTGTGTTAATGTTTATATAGTTCACTTATCTGTATAACGTTAGTGTTTAATAAAGAAATAATAAAATTTATATTAAAAATATTAAATATAAAAAATAGTGAATATTAAATAAAAAAATAGTGGTATGCTGTGAATAAATAAACCGCAGCAGCCGTTAGCGCATCAATAATCCTTTTAATAAATTCGTCCGCACATTGGCCTGAACCGAAGCAAACTGAACGACCTTCCAACGTGTGGACGCGATCACAATTTCTTGGCCAATAACTCTGCCAACACATTCGCCACTGTGTTGGCCAACGTGAAGAGGCGCCATAATACATATTGCGTAGAGATGCAAGTGGTATGTTCTCTAACAACTCTGGCAGCGTGTCGGTGAGAAAACTATGATAGCTTTCACCGTTTAATCTTTCTATGAAGACCGGGCCCAGTAACGTTGTATTAATAACGCCTGCCCACACATTGACACTAAACCGGTGTAGCGTAGCTCGGTGCACGTGAGATATTCGATATTCACGGCAGGCTTCACTAACGTTATCATTGCAAATTGCTAAAATTCGCACCATTTCGGTATACTCGACATTTGAGTATCGGTAAGCCATCGCGTAACAACGCGTAACGTTCGCGATATTAATCTCACAACGGAAGGAGAAACGTCGCGGGCGCACTAAAGGCGACTGACGACACAGGTAATTAGGTCAAGTTCAAATGAGCGAGCGCCGCCTCCTACACCCCTCCACCCCTACGCGCTATATTTTGCTATTTAGGACTATTGCCGTTTAGAAGGTCCAATTAAAATATTTTTATTTTTGTATGAAAATAAAATTTGAAGAAATATAATTTTTTTTCTTAAAGATGTTGTTGTTATGATGTAAATAATATATTCCCAAAAGGTCTTCAGTAAATTAAAAATTACCCTGTATACAGGATTATATAATCGCGCGTTGGTCTGTGAGACCGATAAAACACATTTTCGTTATTATTTCGTCGATTTCCTTGGTAGCTGCCGGATTTGTTGCTAACTTCATTTTAGTGAATGTAATATATTTAGTGCATTTATATATACTTTAAAAACTTTGAATACTTTATGACGTATTTATAGTAAAATGTATGTAATATACATACATTTTACTTTACATACGTCATATCATATGTTGCTGTATGTTATGTTTTAACCAATTTTGTTATTTTTTTAAGATTATACTTCATATCAAAATGGACGATGATCGAATCGGATTGCCGTAGGAGTATTTTTTCAATGTGTAGTGTTCGCGTAAATATAAGAAATCATTAATTTTAGCGCGATTTTAGTAGGATTTGTAATTAATGTATTGTTAATTTACAATTTAAAACATTAAAATAGTTGATCTCATCTTGAAGCAAAGTTATAAACGTACATAAGTCAATAGCAAGTAATGTCGTCCAGACCGAATTTATGTCATGGCGACTATTCTCACTGGGTAGCTTTCAGCGCAGGA